CCCCCATGTGAGGATGTTGTTTTTACAACCTCATAATCTCTTATTTATGCAGGAGAACAGCTCGCTGTGTTTCGCACCCAGAATGGCCAAGCCTACGTGGTTGACGCTTACTGCCCTCACCTCGGGGCTAACCTCGCTGCCGGCAGGCGCGTCGTGGGCAATTGCATCAAATGCCTGTTTCATGGCTGGCAGTTTCAAGAAGATGGGAAATGCACCCGCATCCCATATGCTGAAAAAGATGAACATCCCCCAAATCTGCAGAAAGCATCCGCAGAAAGCATCCACAGAAATGGTAGTGCCCTGAGTGTCCTTATTAAAAGCTACTTCATTAAGGAAAAGGGGTCTTTATAATAACTCACCCTCCATATTGCTCCCCTATTTCATGCAGCACCCTAATTTTCCTCCTGGGGTGTCCATGTTGGGGCATAATGTTCCAGTGCCCTTTCCTATGTTAGATGATAACTGAGACTTTAGTCTAATTAAATAACCACCCTTCTTGATTTTGATAGTCCTACAACTCCTGCATTCAGCAAGCAAGGTATAAAAGAAGATTTTTAACTCTGAATCATCCATTGCACCAGCAGGGATGGATGCTGTGGAGCTATGGGGTTTCAGGAATGATTCTGTACTCTACAGTGACAGCTTATACCACATCAGTGCTTAAATATGTCACATTAGCATGACAGAATAATGTCTCAGTGGCATTTTTTTCTCCTTTTAAGGCTTGAAGGGAACTTTTGGTTAGAATCCAAGAAAGCTCTTTGCATACACCTACCATTTAGTTACGGCTTGCATTGACTGCGTAGGAAGAATATCTTACTTAAAGTTCACATGTAACAATTACTTGATCTGGCTGCACTAATTTGTTTAAATCACCAATTCTAAATGTGGCTGAAACCAGCAAACAGACTTACCTTGAGCTTTGCTTTGGCTTGTGCTGCTTAGTTATTTTCCCTGAGTTCAACTTTCTCTGGCTAGGATTGATTGGGATAGCAATGAAAACATCGATTAGCAGCAAAACCCAGTCTCTGTACTAAACAGACTATTTTTCCTGAAGTAGAAGAAACATTCCATCCATATGTATTAAGATAAACAATTTATAGATCTCACTAAACAGCAATTCCTTTTTTTTTTTTTGTGTTGGTATTTTTCAGAAAAAAGATTAATACTGTATTTTTTTTCCCCATACATACTCACTCAGGAGGTGCATTCAAATGAAAATCTGGTTCCAAGTAATGGGCAAAGATGTGTTTCATCACAAAATGAGAATGAATACTCTGGGTATACACAAACGCTTGCCAAGATGCATTGTTTCATCTGAAATGGCTGTATTCAGGGTCACTGTTATCTGTAGTTATTACAAGAACAAAAGTGCAGACAGCTGCCCGGCTCCCATACAGCCCAAATGGGTCAGGCTGATTTAAACAGATTTAAAAGCCATCTGTCCTCATGCAGGTCACTTTGACAGACAGGCATTCTGGAGAGCTCGGATGGGCAGCTCCTCCAGCACTGGGCTTGCAGGGGACCGACAGCCGGGCAGGAGAGCCACAGAGCCCAGCCTGGTGCTAGATGAACCTCGGTGAAGGGTCTAGAGCATAAGTCTTATGAGGAGCGGCTGAGGGAAATGGGGTTATTTAGCCTGGAGAAAAGGAGGCTCAGAGGAGACCTTATCACTCTTTACAACTACCTGAAAGGAGATTGTAGCGAGGTGGGCTTCGGTTTCTTCTCCCAAGTAACAAGTGATAGGGCAAGAGGAAAAGTCCTCAAGTTGCACCAGGGGAGGTTTAGCTTGGATACTAGGAAAAATTTCTTTGTGGAAAGGGTTGTCAAGCATTGGAACAGGCTGCCCAGGGAAGTAATTGAGTCCCCATCCCTGGAGGTATTTAAAAGATGTGTAGATGTGGCACTTAGGGACATGGTTTAGTGGTGGACTTGGCAGTGCTAGGTTAACAGTTGGACCCGATGATCTTAAAGGTCTTTTCCAACCTAAACGATTCTAGGATTCTATGTCTGCGTGGGGGCAGATCAAGCCCTCTTTAAATTTTAACAAGATGCATCCCACCCAAAGCACTGGATTATTTCAATCAGAAATCACAGTGATGGTCTCCTCCTGCCCCCTCTGATATTCACTGACTGAAACAGAAACATAATTTCTCCTATTATTTCACCTCCCACATGATGGTGCAAGGCTGAATAATAAGGAAGCGCTATCCTCTGTGCTTGTTTGCAATTTAGAAAAAAAAGTAATAAAGGCAAAAGACTTCCAATCCAGCAGAAGCTACCTTTTCTGACAATTGGGTAAACATAAATGCCAAAATTCATTTCACTGAAAAGAGTGCAGATATATTCCTAATGCAACACATGATACTGCAGTATTGTAACAGAGAATGACTTGATTTCAAGAGGTAGAGATGACTTTTACTCTCTGCACATCTATAAGTAAAAGCATCTCCTTTTATCTCATTGAAACTTGAGGAGGGTCCATTGATGCAGCAGACATTTACTTATTTGTACAGCTTTAAGACTGGTGAAAGAAGACTGCAGAGCAGCCAGCCATGCTTCTTCCCTAAAAGACTTATGCAAAACACCCAACTGAAATAAAACTGATTTAAGCAAACTCTCTTCTGTGAACTTCAGAAGCTGTTGTCCTTCAGCAGCCTGAAAGCTGGCAAGTGCCACCAGAGAGCCTGTGCCACATGGATATTGCCTGTAAAGACAATCTCTGAGCTGTAGTTAGGATGAGGTGACCCTTAGTGCCAGCATCAGCCTTGGAGATGCTGCTTTTAACTGATTCCTTTCTGTCCTCTGCAGTGCCAGATTTTGCAAGGGTCTGGACCTGGCCATCCTACAAGATGAATGGGATGCTGCTGGTCTGGTACCACTGCAAAGGGGTTGGTCTGACCTGGGCAGTGCCCGAGCAGCGAGAGATCACCACCAAAGAGTGGGTGTTCCGTGGGCAGACAGAGCATTTGGTTGACACACACATCCAGGTAGGGAACCCAGTCCCTCCATGGGGCATGTCCATGCCTGCCTCTCCTATAGTCCAGTTCAGGGACATCTCCTCCCAGTTAACCAGGCCCTGCCTGTGCCCAGTGTCATTGCTGCTGCTGGCAGAGCTCAGACCTAGAAATACATCCCTGTGCCATATACTGAGAGTACGGCATATGTTCCCCAAACATGGGAATTAGAGAGCAGATGTTCTGGGTACTTAAAAGGAATCTGTTCATTTGCTTTGACTTATAACTGATGTAATTTAAAAAAAGATTCTCTAAGAATTGCGGCACTTAGTGTCAAAAGTCTTTTCAACTCATCAATCACCAAAATGGAAACGCGTGGTTATTTTGCTGTTAATCTTCATAATCACCATCACACGCTGACAAATGTGCCACGGAGAACAAAATGGCTGTTGCCTCCATTGCCTCTCAGGGGAAATGAGGCTGGAAAAGGGGAACCGTTCTGTGGCACTAAACAGAAGGGACTGCAGCAGTGGTGGAGGGAGCTTAAAATTAACTCAATTTTCTGAGCTTCATGTTTAAATTATTTCTGTACACTAGTTAAGATCTAGTCCCAGGTAAGTCTGTGCTGAGGCCCCTTCCTCCGCTCGCTCAGTTGCCTCTTGCTACGTCATGTACCTGCGAGCATCTCTGCTATGCTTGGAGCGACGTGCTGGGGTGTACTGCAGTCATGCTGGTGCTATTGCAATACTGCTATTAAGTATAGGCAGCTCACACCCAAGTCACCTCTTGCTAATGGCAGATTGTTCCACAATGGCAGGAAATCCCTGAGAATGCAGCCGACATAGCTCACCTGGCTTTTCTCCATGGACCAGCTATTCTGGGAGGATCTGATCTGAGATACACAAGGTCCAAGCTGTGGGATTTTATGAAGCATGTCTGGAAGGTAAGACCCTAGGTCCCCTCTTAGCCATGAGGAGGTCATCAAACCAGGTCCCCGTTCTGCCTCAAAGCATCAGTCCCACCTCATCCCCTCTGCTGCATCCCCCCATCTTCAAGTCCAGTCTTTTCTGTGTCTCTGAGGGTTTTAGCTGCACATCTGTGTTCATCTCTAGATGGTCTTCACCATCTTGCTGCTACCTCCCCTCAGTCTGTAGTCTCCATCTCTTGGACTGAGCTGATCTTTCTCCACCCCTCCAGGCTGAGTGGCAGCCGGAGCCGGAGCCCAACAAAGCATTGCTCCCGGCTGCAGGTTCAACACACTGCAACCATCTTTGGGAAGCACGTCTCCTTGATGGATTTGACAGTTTCAGCCAGGCAGGTATGTCCCACGCTGGTGGCGACCAGCACCCAGAGCTGAAGGGCTTTGTCACCCGAAAGCCTAAGTGAGTTCTTGCCCATCCTGCCCAGTGTAGCCTTTCCTACCAAGTGCATCAGACACACAGGCCAAAACTACACACTGGCATTGGGGTTGCTCCACAGCTGGGCACCATGGAGAAAAGCGAGGGTTTGTAAGGACTGCTGTGCCCACAAAACAACTTAAAAAAAAAAAAAATAGCTAGCACCTGAGTGAACACTGGTGACAATCCCAATGGACACCACGTTGTCACAGCTTCAATACAGAAGTGTGGACCTTTTCAGTCCATGGCAAATGCACCTGAGAGAGTGTAGAGAGCACTCAATATACAGTAAGAAACATTTTGAGGATGTTGATCTGTGTGATCCAAAAAACTCAGAGTTTTTCAGACAACTTTCTGAAAAGCACAAAGATTTGTCAGTTTACAAACATTTACGCTAAAGAAATAAATTCATACTAATGTCAAGACCTCCTTCTGCAATTAAAAGTTCACTCATTTTCTTATTTTCTTCCTTTCTTGTGTTTTTGGTTTTTGTTTTGGGAACATGTTTATTAACCACACTTCTCTTTCCCCTCTCCACTTCCAAAAAATCAGAAAGAGCATGCTTGTAGTTCACAATCAGCCCTGCATGAGATAATAAAATAGTTGACACAAATTGATAAAGAATTAAAGACAAACAGAAATAATGCCACTAAACATGAATCAATGGTAACTAGATGTTCTCGCTTTCATTTTTGGTTGTGGGGTTTTTTTTTTTTGAAGAAATGCGAAGCTTGCCTGATAAAACTAGTAACTTTGTTCTAGTACATTTTTGAAGGCATTTGACCTATTCCCATATTACAACTTCAGAACAATAGCAAAACAAGTCATGACACAAAACTTTGATGAAGGATAGGTCTCTGTGTAATTAGGGAATTATCACAGAGTGGATGGTGATTGTATCTCTGTTCAGTTCTTAGATCTGTGCTACTTAGCACTGATATCAATGAACAGGAGAAAAAAGACATTAAAGTAACCTTACAAAGAGTTTGTACCCAACCAAACATTAAAGAGGTAGTAAATAAAGTAGCCAAAGAAACCAGCAATATCTGCACTGCTTCAAAGAACCAAGTGTATGACCATGCATCGGTGTGTCTGGATGTATGTCAAAGAGCAGAGAACAACTACTTCATGTCATGCAGGATAAAAGGCTGCACCTGATTTCAGATAAAGCCTAATGGACTGTTGTAGTTGCAAAGGACAAAGCCAGAGCAGGAGTAGGGATGTTGTATTAACTCCATATTTTATTGCATTTGCTGCTGCTGAGATTGGAGCCCAGGACTAGTGTCAACAATCCAATAAGACTGTTGATGACCTAAAGGTAATTCAGTGATGAACAACAATTTGGAAGCATTTCCTAGATTAGATTTTAAACTTTTTGGGACTAGTACAGCACTGCAAACACTCATGAATTCCCACGGGCCCACAGCAAAGCCATCCAGCCCTGACACATCTGTGAATGTCCCAGGCTGATAACAGGCTGCATGGCTCTGCTGGATTTCCCTTAGCCTGGGGAGCATTAACAGTTGGCAGTCTGTGACTGATGGCCCTGAGGCATAGCTTGACTTTGTGCCTATTATCTGATGAAAGAGAGAGTAAAAGGGAACTTGAGCACAGTCTAGGAGACATCTGTCACGAATGCAGGTCTGTGAATCCTGCTGATTATGTCGATTCACTATGAATGAGTGACTTTACACAGTTTGATTTAGTAAAAGTTAGAATTTACTTGTAGCGAATTGCAGAATTTGATTATAGTATTTTTAATAGCACTCAATCATCAATGATTAATAAAGTGATTAGACAAAATTGATCAAAACAGTGACTTAGTTACAGATTCGAAGATGGCAAGGTTCACTCTATTACTACATAGAAGCACATAAAAGAGAATTAAATCACAAGTTAAAATGAGTCATAAAAGCGTTGCATATATATGGAAAAAAGGCGGGGGGGGGGCCCTCCCGTTGAGTCATGAGGTTTAGACTAGGCCCCCTTGCTTTCTAAACTCCTTCTCAGAGAGGAGCGTAGGTGCGGCTAGGTCTAGTCCTAGTCTCAGACTTGGTCAACGTTTTAGGAGAGTAATGCTATAAGAATAGTACAGCAATATAAACCTCCTTTTAAAATTAAATCATACATATATAAAACTACTTAAATGGATTCATGCATGCACACTTACAACTATAAATGCATATATGAAAATAGTATACCTGTTAAAAATTCCCCTCGAGCTTAGTGAAATACGTCTAATGCCTTGGCATTTCTCAACAGGTGGGAGTAGAGTTTTGAGGAGTGAAGAATATCAGCAGCCCAG